CAAAATACAGAAGAATGGCGTTTTTCTTTTTCAAATATCTTTTTTCGTTTTAGAGATTTCTATTATGCAAATTAGTGCAGTGATGACGTCATATCATGTTTGCAACTAAAAATGGTAAAATACTCAATAAACAATATCTCTAGAAATATTGAAGTAGTGTTCTTGAAACTTGGCACCATAAATGTGCATCACAAAAGAAACAAAATGACACCCCTTAAGGGATATAACATTAGCGTGAAACAACATTAAACATCCGTGACTGTCTGTCTTTTCGTATGGTGCAATTTTCGTAATTCCGCGCGGACATATCAATTTACCTTGAATTCTACACATCATCGCCAAATAACAGACATCACTAGAACTGGAGAGATTCCATTTGTTTTGTTTTTTCTAGTTTATTACGGCAAAAGTGATGAACTTCTATTAAAAAGGAGGAGGAATTCATAAATTGTTAACGCTTTAACCAAGTATAAAGGAAATATGGGATGCATAAATCAATTGTTTTCGTTATTATAAGAACACTATTGAGCTCACAAACCATTATTGAGACCAAAAAAAAAGAAAAGAAAAGGAAAAAAAAAAACAAAAAACAGAAGAAGAGAAAGGTCCAAAATTCACACGGACAAGATAAAATCGAAATGTGTCCAAAACACCCCAGGCAATANGGCACCATAAATGTGCATCACAAAAGAAACAAAATGACACCCCTTAAGGCATATAATATTAGCGTGAAGCAACATTAAACATCCGTGACTGTCTGTCTTTTCGTATGGTGCAATTTAAGAATTGGTTCATGCTTAGGCGTGCGTGGATCGTGTTAGAATTTGGAGAGTACGAAAGAAGCGTAAGAGTTGCTCGAGGCGACAGGCGAGAGCAATTAACTCTAGCTTCTTGAGTGCTCTCCAAACCTCCCAAGCGTATCCATAACTCGATATACGTACAGCTAAAAGCATGAAGCAATTCTTTTATCGGCATGGCGACAACACTGATCTTGGGCGCCTAAAACATGTTTTATTTGTGATTGACTACAATTAGTTCTCACGATGAACGGTGAAGGAAAACAACTGTCATCAGGATCCTCACACGCCACGATCAGTTTAGCAACAGTTGAACGGAAACGCTTATCCTGGTTTCTAAAATTGTCAATGAAAAATTCGCTTCTTCGAATTAATTATAATGAAAATGTAGGCAAGAAAAGTCAAAAATAATCAATGGAAATGTAGACAAACAAAGCCAAAATACTCAAGTTTAAGTACACATCTTAGCCAGGCAAAAGTCAAAGGCTCGAAGTAGAGTTTGGATTGTTCAGAATAATCTTTACTTTGCCGAAACTTAACAAAAGGAACTTGCACTAAACTCGACGGAAATTTTGCAGCTAAATATTGAAACTGCACACGTCATCTTATATACGCACACGGCCGTGCGTATATTTAGGGATTTCGTTCATGATGACTCAATAGGAATTAGGTAGGACTAGCGCGCGCTCTGTGTTACAAATAACTTTACAATAAAGGTAAGACCCTGCGCGCGCTCTGATTGTTCAAAAACCCATGTTTTATCAGAGTATAAAACATAGAAAAAGCGTGTTTTATTGTTTTTCACCACATCACCTCTATATCATAAAGCAAATGAAGAAGCCTAAGCTGTGTATTACACTGTGATAAAACACGCCGAACATTTGAGTACACTCGAGAAATGTTGAAAACACTCGCCTCCGGCTCGTGTTTTCTATATTTCCCTCCTCTTCTCAAATGCCCGTCGTGTTTTATCAAACTGTAATAAACGACTTACACTTTTTTATTTGTTAAATAATTGATATATATATATA